CTGTAGTGCTCTCATTTAACCCCCCACATTCCTCCCTGCCTGGGAAGCACGAACAATTCTCTTGCCCAACAAAACAAATGTCAAACCCACAGCTTAGACAGTTTGTTTTTGTTCAGTGTTTCCAATCTTAACATCCCTCCTCTCCCAGGGCCTCCAGTTCAGTGCCTATGTACTTTTGGCCCAAAGTTTTAAAGCAAGCAAGAAGCTGTACTATCACTAGGATCTGCATAAGCCTTGCAAACTCCCAGCCCTTACTAGTAACTGGATCACTTGCCCATAGCACTCACCATCCTTGTCAGGAGTGAGGAAGGTACAGAAGGCTGGTGGGTTCAAAGACTCCATGAACTTGGACTCCACCATTGACTCAAACAGTAGCTCTACCTCCTTGAGGAGAAGGTGCAAGCTGACGGCCTCAGAAACGGTGCCTGGACACAAGAAGATTGGCAGATTTCAATGGCTGCTTTCTGGTGTAGGCCTGAAGCTGTTGGATAGGCCCCATTGTTGGCGCTCCTAGCAAAGATGGTCCCAGAATTGGATTGCTGCTCTGGGGCCTGGCAGCAGATCATGGTGATGCCAGAACCTTCCAGTGAGCAGCAGTGAGTGCAGGGCAGGGGTAAAGGGAGTGGGGAGGGATTTTTCAAAGACAGAGGTGGCCATGGTACTGTTGGGAGCTGTGAGACATGAAACTGTACTTGCAAGTGTGCTTAGGCTCTGAGCAGGTATGGGCCTAGGTCTGGTAGGTCTTGAGGAGAGTAAATTTTTGGCTAAATGGGGGGTTAGGATCCCAGGTTTAGAGAATAATAGGTTTGGGGAAGTTTGGTGAGGTAGGGCACTAGGTTTAAGTGGTGGTAGAATTTTAGAAGTGTTTAGAAGTATTGTGTGAGAGGATGGGAGCCCTGGTGGCATAGTGCCTAAGACATTGGACTGCTAACCAGAAGGTTGGCAGTTCAAACCCATCAGCCATTGCTTGGAAGGAAGATTGGGCAATCTACTTCCGTAGTGATACTGCCTCGGAAACCCAAGGAGGGGTCGCTATGAGTTGGATTCGACTAGACAGCAATGAGTTTGGTTTGAGTTTGGTTTTGTGTAAGAGGATACCAGGTACGGGCAAGTTTCTTGGGGCTTGGGAAGCAGGAAATATAGAACTAGTGTGTGGTGAGTGTTTTGGGATATAAGTATGGGGACTCCAGCTCTGGGCTGTGGCAGGCTCTTGGATGAATGCAATGTGGGTTGGGGGTGTGATGGGACATGTTGTTTAGGTTGTGAAGGAACACCAGGTTTGGAGTTACCAGTGGAGTAACATGGTTCATAGTGCTAGATTTGGGCTGGCTTGGGGTTCCAGGATTCAGTGCTGGGACCTGTGGCTAAGGATTCATGGATAATAGAATATTGAGATTTTGGTGAGCACCAGAATCTGAGGGCACAAGGGCAGCAGGTTTCATCCTGAGAGTTGGCTGTTGCAAGATGCCAGAATCCTGTTGTGCTGGAGTTTTAGACTTTGGATGTGCTGGGGATGATAGAGTTCTAGGGCTCTGATCCAATATCTCCAGCTCCTTGGAACTGGACATCTTCTTTGTAGAGATAGTAGTAGTTGAAGATAAGTAGGTCTTTAGTCCCACAGAACTTGATTTGGAGGAGATTATGGGCACCAAGGCTGGATGGGCTTTGCCTACCCTTTGGCCATGCCAGCTGGTGGATGAAGGCATGATGATACCTGGCCCACCTGTGGTAGGGACTTATTTTCTGTCTTTTGCTGGCCTGCTTGGTCTGCACCATGACCAAGGAAGTCAGAGATGTGATAAAACTGTATTCAAGGGATAGACTGAGGGCCTTGGCAGCCAGCAGGTGATGAGTGGTGGTATCATGGGCCTGGAAGCATACCTCCAGAAGCTGTCCAATAGTGATGTAGGCCCACAGGTGGCAGATGAAGTGGGCCACATTGGGGCCTAGATCTCCTGAGCAACCAAAGGTCCTCTGGCTGCTGTTGGTGGCCACCTCACTGTGCTGGGCCATGAGAATCTGACACTGGGGGCCACGGGCTGCCAGGTGGATGCTCAGCTCCTGCTCATCTGGTTGCACCTGGCCTGCCACCAGCAGCTCTGAGTCACCAAAGTAGTTAGGGAAAAGTGCCCAAGGGAAGGCCCCAACCAAGCTGCCCAGGTACTCAAGATTCATGTCTGCCAGCAGAGGCACAGAGATCTACTCAAAGAGGCCTTCCAACTGCAGGATTGCTTCACTGTTCTTATATATGAGCTGGACTGCTCCTCAGTTCTCCAGGGACAGGCAGTGCAGCAGCAGGAAGTTAGAATCATCCCCAAAGGCTAAGCTGAAAAGGGACATCTTGTGTCCCAGTGCCTGACAGATATTGGAGAGGATCATATGGAGTTGTCACACTGACCGTGGACTCCCCATCTGTCAGGAAGATGATGAGCGGAACCCTCCCCACATTGGAGCCC